TGGAAGGTGTCCCTGCTGATGGCAGGGGGGTTGGAACTGGATGATCTTTAAGGTCCCTTCCAACCCAAACCATTCTATGATTCTATGACATAGCCAACAGTTCTCATGGAAAGGGAACATTTAAACAGACTAAGCAACCACTAATTTTTTCCATTAGAAACCTCATTATTCTTCTTCCTCTCCAGACCTATTCTTATCAATTGTGTAACTTTCCTCTCCTCCTCTGCTACTAACCCATTGGAAGATACATTCCCCTGAGAGAGACTTGTCTGAAATGATGAACTGTAAAAATAGCCTAGTCACAGGGGGAAATATATTCTTTAAAAAGAAAAGCATGTAAGCTGTTTTGCATAGCCCCATGTTTGACATACTACAATGGTTATACTATTTATGCTGGAACCTAAGACTAAGAGAGATGACTTCATTGTAGATGAAGAGAGTCAGCCTGGCATCCCTGTTGAAAGAAGTCACCAACCTTTTCCCACTGTTGCTACAGAGCAATGTTAGTGTCTTCATACAGCGCCACTAGCATTTCTTTCTGCAATACATGGCTTCTGGCTCCTCCTCTAAGTCTGCACACTAGGGGAAAGACAATACCAAATTTGATGTACTGGATCCAGTAGAAGTTCTGCCTAATCCATGTCATATACCAGCTATCCAAATATCCACTGGTTTGGAGCAACTTCTAGTCCTTGATGAAGCAAAAGAGAATCAGAATGGTGACCTGAAGATAAAAGGCTTTATAATGCCGTAACAAAGTCTTGAAGCATCCAACATCCCCATACAAATGTGCATGCAAGAACACATGCAACCAAAGAAATACAAGAATTTAAGGTGCTCGTGTGAGTCCCAGATCAGTCCCTTACAAACATACCCTGCAATACAAGTTATCATCCCACAAAGACACTACTTCTGTGTAGCTAGATCCAAACCTAGCTAAAAGATCTTAGTAGCAAGAGGATTATCAGGTCTACACAATGGCTCTATTCTTGTTAAATCCACTCAGTAAATGGGAGCAGCAATAGTTTGGCATGACCCACTCCCCACCCTGTGGTCCCCCCCTTCTTGTAATTAAGCCCCTTTAGTATGGTATGGAAATATTTCACCACCATACTGCATAACATTTTGTGGCAGAGTGCTGGAATGCTGACACTCAGTATTCCCAGCTTCTGCTCCAGGCTACGGGAGCAGTATTTGGTTTCCAGTTCAGGAAAAAAGGTTAAAAGTAACCCAGCCAAGTACAGAGTTTGGTACATTCATTCTGAAAAGTAATGCAGCTGGGTAAAACTTGTATGATGTTATGTATTTGCAGTACAACCACAGTTAGAGTTGGGCTAAGGCTGTACTATCATTTGGTTAGTTATCTGCAAAAACAGTCCAGTCACAGTTGCTTTCTCCAGGACTGAAGTGAAACCTCAGTTCAAAATTAGCAGAGCTAATGAAGTCACAGGACTCCTTTGCACATGAACTACCAGAAACCATGAACACACTTACAGGTAAAGTTCAAAAAATGTTTTTTTACTGAAATCAGTGGAAGTAACCCAGTAGTCAAAAGAGTAAGGGTTCCTTCCCCTCCAGTTGCAGCTATAGCAAATACCTTTGAAACCTCTGTTTCATCAACTGATGGTTCTCACAACAGTTCTTCCAACTAGGGTAACGATGAGGCTGAACATTGTTTTCATAATGTTGCCTCTTTCTGACTGGAGTAAGGGAGTTTGCCACAGGGGTTATGTTTTTGTTTGGCCTTAAGCACTGATTAATCCATTTTAACACCTTGGAACATTTTGTTTTTATGCACCCTTTTTCAAGCCAGCAATCAGCACAGCTGGATAGAACAACCTCCTTAGGGCAGCAATTACTGTTAGTGCTACAAGAGCTATTTGAACCTATAATTCTGTTATATCAAACTACATGTACTTGCTCCCCTGCTTTTAAAGTTTCAGGTTAGACATTTATTTTACCTTCCCATTCTGTCTTAGTCATCTTATTTCCAAGTAGAGCTAAGAATTTGTCTGAGTTTCTAAACTCTGCAACCTCATGCATTTAATTTCTTCCCAATTCCCTAAAACAGCGGCAATACACAAGGCAGAGCATAAACACGAACAGGCTACACACATCTACCCAGCTTCACACGCTTGCATCTGCCTATGGTGGCAGCCTTAAAACCTTTAAAGCTTTGAAAGAGACTGCAACTCCCACTATTCCATTGTAGTGGGAGTTGCCAAACTCCAGTCAAGTTTTCCAGTGGACTGGAGGATGGCAAATGTGACACCCATTTACAAGAAGGGCTGGATGGAGGATCCGGGAACTACAGGCCTGTCAGTCTGACCTCAGTGCCAGGGTCACTGAGGAGCAGATCATCTTGAGTGCTATCACACAGCACACACAGGCCACCAAGGCCACACAGCACTGGTGATCAGGCCCAGTCAACATGGATTTCTGAAAGGCAGGTCCTGCCTGATCTCCTTCTATAACAAGGTTACCCACTTAATGGACGAGGGAAAGGCTGTGGACATGGCATACCTGGACTTCAGTAAAGCCTTTGACACCATTTCCTACAGCATCTGCTTGAGAAACTGGCTGCCAATGGCCTGGACAGGCACACTCTCTGCTGGGTTAAAAACTGGCTGGATGGCCAAGCCCAAAGAGTGGTGGTGAATGGAGTTAAATCCAGCTGGAGGCCAGTCACAAGTGGTGTTCCCCAGGGCTCAGTTTTGGGGACAGTTCTGTTTAACAGCTTTATCAATGATCTGGATGAAGGGATTGAGTGTACCCTCAATAAGTTTACAGATGATACCAAGCTGGGCAGAAGTGTTGACTTGCTTGAGGGTAGGAAGGCTCTACAGAGGAAACCAGACAAGTTGGATTAGTGGGCTGCAACCAGCTGTATGAGGTTCAACAAGGCCAAGTGCCAGGTCCTTATCTGAAATAGAGGCAAGTACACTGGATGAAAAAACAGCTTTTGCTTACCCTCAGTCTTGTAATTGGAGATTTCAATTGCATAATGAAATCCAGACTATCACTGAACAAGTTAACAAATGCCTCTCAACTCAAAGTGACTTTGATTTTCAGCAGTTTTTCTCAAGAAAAGTTGATCTAGTTGATCTGAATAGCAAATCCCCTCAATGCAAGAAGCTGGGGTGTGAGTATACCTATCAAATACGCTATAGTTTAACCTCATCCCTTAAGCAAAATGTTGCAGGAACTCGGATCCCAGTGTCAGATGACAAATTCCCTGGAGCAATGCTGCGTAATAGTATGTTTTTCTGGAATAAAACCAGTAACGAGGCAGTCTGGCCATACAGTGCCACTGCTTTTGCTCACAGAAATGCCTTATCCTTGCAATGTTCTTCCAGCTTTCTTCTGAAATAGTTTCACACCATACGCTCCATTTTTGTAGTAAGGCACATACCCAATTTAAAACATCCCAGGTTTTGACAAGATTCCTGTTTGTCACTCTCATCTGAAGAAGGGAAATAAGTCTGTTATATTCACAGAGCAGAGAAGCACATGTACCCCTATGGATGTGCATGCTCTAATGCAAAGAGAAGTCTTTAGTCTTTCTTATATAGTTATACTCCTTAGTGAAAACAGTGTTAAAAAATTATGCGACTTTTCTTTCACCCAGAGGGTGGCACTTAAAAAAAACCCCCTAAATTTATTTTAGAAATTCTGTAAGCATCAATCCATTTACTCTGAAGAATCCAACAAGAACTAGTAAGTCAGAATCTTAAGCAAGTGGCTACATATAAGCACACCTTCAACTCGCCTATGTTCTTCAAAGTTGGAAAAGGCTATTCAGCCTCAACACACTGCAATAAATAATCTTCATAAGAAAGCATTTGGTTTGCAGATACATACTTGAAAACTTTGTCTTTGTCATAAACTGGTGGGTTTATCGCTATAGGCAGTTTTTCCTTGTTTTCTGCTAAAATAGCCTAAAAACAAAACAAAAAAAATCAGAAAAAAGTTAATACTAGGCAGAATAAATGAGCAGACTTAAGTCAAACTGATATGAACAGTAGCTCAGACCAAACTGAATTTTTAAGAGTGCATAATCAGGTTTATAAAACAAGTGACTGAAAACCAACATTATCTTTAAGGAGAAGCTACAGGTAAAATATTCTGTGTGACTCAGCGTTCATCCAAGTGTTTTATTAGCAATAGCCTGTTGAAATTTTCCCAAACTGCAAACCTTTATGGATCATTTTCTGCAATTCCTTATCTCCATATAAGTATTTAAATACATGTATAGAGGTGCATTTGTAGTCACAGTAAAAATGACAGTCCATCTACATGTCTCACTGGTCCATTGTCCCAGGTGCAAGTGAATTCCACCAAAGTTGCATTTTGAGAAATACATTATGTTGTGTAATATGCTGCTCAGAAAAAAAAAAATAATATCAGTACAAGATCAGGGCTTACCAACACTGTCAAATCACCCTGAGAAATGCCTGTTTCTCCTAAGCATTAAATAAAATACCAAATGACAGATGATCATATCCAGTAAAAGACAAAGTTATCGTATTTCCAACAAAATGGAAGACTGACCATCTAGCCATGACGTTTATGTTTTATTTCAGATAACTAAAACAATTATAGGAGGCTGAAACTGAATTCTGCTCTGAGCAAAAGGCTTTTTTCAGTCTTCATCAGTAAACATGCTTGGGGAAAAAAAAATTAAAAAAAAAAATCTTACTCCATCTTTTACAACTCCTCTGACTGATAAAAGGAAATACACATTTGGATCATTGCTGATATCCTACCAAAGGAAGTAGCTCACAGAAAACTCTGGGGTGGGAGAAGTGCATCTTGAGAAACCAAAGCAGCTGCTGTTCTGCAAAAGCTCTCTGCGTTCCAGCTGCTGCAGGCCGTCTGCATAAGCTGCAGCAGTGAAATGTCTGTCCAGCCACAGACATAGCTCTTTACCTTTAAGGCTGTTGTAGGGAATACAATCATACATAACTGGAAAGCATAAACAAAATCATAGTTGTAGTCAAAGAGCTCAGACATCACCTTCTAAAATAGACTGGGCAGTACAAATAGAAAATAAATCCTGCAGCCACCTAAGGATAGGAAGGGAACCTGAACTCTTAAGAGAAGACTACAGTTCTCAGAGCAGTACCAGAGAATTCATTGCTGTCTTTTCTGCAATTCAAATACAGGGAGCTGTTGCAGAACACCAACTACTCTAGTCCCTCCAAGAGATACTTCTTCCATCCCAGACACTTCCTTAGAAGCTGCCTCGCCTGACACTGGTTTCTGCAATCATTGCCCAGTCATTACCCACAGTACCATTTACCCTTTATGGTCTGTGCTGGAGATCAGAATTAGGTAACAGCATGAAAACCAGGAAAAAGTTAAGCCACAATGTTGCTGTAACAGCTCTGTGATTCTTTTAAATAGAACACTGAAGCCTTCAGGTTTATTTAAAGGAAAATTAGAATAAGAAATATAACATCTTTAGTTATAGTAAAAACCAACCACACAGCCCTTTTAACAAATTATTATTTGCACGCAGTAGTAAAGCAGTTGCAGAAATTGTACAGTAAAAAATTCTGAAACAGCATGACTTGCATTAACATTGAGAAACATTTTCACACAATTGTATTTCCCTGCAGAACTGCTGGCTCACATATTAATGCTGTAAACAGCTCTCTGAAGTTGCCTGTACTTTTTTGTGCATGCAGCTCTGTTTATGTGAAAATAGGGGAACTGGAAGTGTCAGCAATACGGTATTTCCTTCTGGTCACCTCACTTTTGGTGTTTAAGTCTGTGCTATGCCCTAATTCTTCACTGGTCTGTCACCAGTTAAGACTTCAGTTTACAGCTGAAGAGTAAAAGAAAGCTTTGTTGGTAATCAGTATTATGCTGTCATCACTTCTCAGCAGCTGAGTGGCAGAGACACAGTAAAGAAAAAACAGGATGCTTTGAGAAGATGTTTTTAAGGTGAGGTGGTAAAAGAGGATACTGTTTGCCCATCTGCCATACATAGTCCTTTAATTTGAATTGATCATCCCAAAAGAGATTAAAACACATGCACAAGTTTGCCTTATCTGAGATCCAGGCACTTTTGCCAAGAGAACACCTGCAAGACGTGAACCATGGGTGCATTGTTGTTCTTCATCTGTAAATGCAAAGTACATCTACCCTTCTTCCAAAAATGCAAAATCCCAACCAACCAATCTGACTTAGGTTACAAGACAGCCCAGCTATTTTAAATGCACACCTTTATTTGGCAGAAGCAGATTAACTTTCACTTCTGATTAGAAACTGTTAATAGCAAGTTGGATCCAACATTTTCTCTATCAGAAGAAACAGTCAGTTGGGGTATAGATTCACCTTTAGAATCTGCACTTTGAATGCTGTTAGTGTCCAGTACAGCATCCTCATAAACATCAGGTTCCTTCATTTTTCTTAAAAAAGAACCTCATGCAGACTTGGTTCATGAAAAGGAGATTCCAAACAACATGAACTTCACGTTCTTAAAATATCACAAACCTTCAGTAAAAAGGAGAGCTCAAAACAGAACAGACAAGTACTTTATAACAGTGACATTAAATTAAAGACATCTCTGCTCCAATATTTGATGGTTCTAAACCACAACATTAAGTGAGTAGCCAGGCTGAAAAATATAACCACTCCTGAAATACTAAAACAAATCTTTCTGTAATAAAAGACTGACCAGAAGTGTTACAATAATCAATCCAATCAGTAGGTCTATTAGACAACGTATCGAGTATCTAACTGGAAGATGGGTACCCCATAATGAAGTACCTGGTAGCATGGTTATTAAAAAGTTAACACAATACTGCAGTAACATATTAGAACTCATTTGTGTTGCTTCCGTTTTCAAACAGTTAAATATTATATGTAAGACATTTTTTGTCTCACCATATTGCTTTCTTTGGAGGAAAAAAAAAAAGGTAGCTATACTCTGAATCAATCTTTAAGCCTAAAAAGAAGCAAATTCAGAACCCTTGCAATGTTTTTTTAGACACTGCCTCTTCTTAAGAGATAAAATATGAGATTAACTTGTTAAAATTATATACCTGGTAATGCTCATCTGACGGCTCTGGTGTAAAACAGTTGACATCCAACACTTCAGTAGGTACCCATGGTAACAAAACACACTTCCTGATCAAGCGATCTGCTTCCCCATAAGCATAGTCACGAGTCACTTCATCTGCAGGAAAACAAGGAGAACCTCTAGGAATTGCCTTTCATTCTCCACTGAAAATCTTCCTCATGGCATATCACACAAATTACAGTTAGTTATAGTTAATACTACTACACCTTTTGTTATTTAAACGTAAAATTAGAGATAATTAAAGAACTACATTAAAAAGGGTATTATTTAGGATGCACAAATTAGTCTGAAACCACCAAACCTATGCCAGTTTAGTCAGACAGCTGAACACTTATCTCCTCCACATGATGGGGGCATAAGGTGGCCCCCAACCAAGATAACAGGAGTAAACGGTTGGCCTCATATTTTCCAACTTCCAGTACTGGACTTTCTGACTCAAAGCTACACACACAGGCTTTTAAGGCAATTTTTTAAACTGTGAGATGACTGAATCAGTAGTTTCACTAAGACAGTGATGCAAGATTTAAGTTCTCTGTCAATAAAACATTAGCAACATTTTTGGACTGATAAAGGCCTCTATCTCTCAAATTATGGAAATATATCAGGCAGAGAACTTTTAAATTTGATGGGATTACAAATCTTCAGTCATTTTGTTCTTGGAAGATTTGTTCTACTGTGAAGTGCTCAATGATTTGTAAGAATATGGCCTGTCTTCTATTGCAAGCATACAAAAAACCACCCAAAAACTCAACAGACACACTTACCACCAGTTTCAAGGTCTCTCAAAGGCCAGAGAACAGTGTAAGCAATTTGTTGAGGCATATAAAATAGAGGTGCTGTTGCAAAACTAGGCTGATCTGAATGCTGAATGCGTGATCCAAATTCATCCATAATGTACCAGACGGGAACCTTCTCCTCTGCAGTCTGCACAATTAAAGAGTGAGACATCCTGCACATACCAATTGCTAGAAAAGCATCGCAAGACAGAAGGCCCTGGCAGCACCCCCTACACCATTTCTCTGTTTCCTACTCTAGCCAAGATTGTGAGCAGGTGTGAAGTACAGAGTAACACTCCCATCCCTGCAACTCTGAGGCTAAGCCAGCCTAGCATCCAGCCACTGCTGAGAACAGCCTGTTCCCATCTCAGCTGCACAGTGCCAGCCTCTCTCTTATGCTACTGCCTACCAGACCTGCTTCCCCCGTGCAGGGGTTATATTCCCTCAGAAGTGGCATGTATGCACTTGAGGATGTTTGAAGGCTCAGGACCTGCTGGTACACTGCTGAAGGACTAAGCAGGACAGAGGGACCAAAGCTGGTGTGATCCTATCCATGCTACTTAAAAGCAGCAGCCCTCTGAGTAAGCTACGCCCAGAAAAACTTTGGCTCCATCTTGAAGCTGGTTGGTTCTCACCTGAGAGTGAGCTAACATTTACACAGTACAGACAATCAGTTGCCGAACACAAACCAGAAAGTTAAGTTATTTGATAGTGTACATAAAGATCTCTGTACAGGTGAGGAAAACTGTGAGCACAGCTGAGACACACACTTTTATGTGAGACAGTTGATTTATGACAGATTCTTTCCTTCACTATGAGAAAATCTGAGTAGAAAAAACCTACAAAACATACAAGCAGATCTCCCCATTCTAGCCCTCTTCTTTTGCAGCAGACTCTCCATAAAAACCCTCTCAAAATATTGATCAAAAAGCTAGCAGCAAGCTGCTGGGCATTTTTAGCCCTACACTGCAATTGCTCTACTTCCAAGTACAAGTTTATTCCGAAATGCCTGTAAAGAACCTTTTTTGTATTAAAAATGTATCTTTGTTCATAGCCATATATTGGAATGTCTTCCCTCAGAATCGCTCAGAACTTTTGAGCATCCTAATTAGGCTTTAGAGACTTACCCCTTGAGACAGCTGGTAGGTCTGATTGTATTTCCACATCTCCTGCAACACTCGCTCAATGCTGCCCTCATCTGGGATCTCCCCGTGGAAGTCAATTCCCATGAGATTTGCCATTCTGTGCAGTAAACCAGGTACGTGAAGCAGCTGCTGGTGGGCGTGTTCAACACGGTATGTCCATGCATGGTCGATGAGGAAAATGCTTAAGAGAATTTTGGTAACATTACAATGGTATATTTTTACACCTACATAGTCAAATGTTCTGTGAATAGGAGCTACATTTCCTTGTAGACTGTCTGATAACTAATCTTCTCTTACTCCCAAAGTCACTCCCAGAGTATACACTGGGACATTATAGATTAAGAACAACTTCCCAGCAGTCACTTACACTCTGTTTTTGTTCTAGAAAGCTTCTTGTTCATCAGTTAGTATTTCCATGAAGATTAGGAGCAAACACAGAACAGGACACTCAGTTTGTAAGCCTATTACCCTTTAAAGGCCCAGAACACAAGAGTTTCTTCCCTTTTGGTCATTACTAACTCCACAGCATCAACCTGATACTCCTGCCTGAAGAAGGAAAACAATATATTATTTTGCAAAAGCATTCAAGGATCCTGTTAGCCATGAGCTCTGTGACATCTACTATAATCTGTAAAACTAGGTGGAGACATCTGATTATCAAAGCCTGTATAATTTGCTATTAAGAAAGGATTAAGTTTTAAGCTTTTTTGATTGTTTATCTTTGTTTTTTTGGGGGTGTTTCCCTCCCCTCCCCAGGTCTTTTTAGAAAAAAAACTGCAATGTTTTAAAAGAATTACCAATCTAACCCAAAACAAAATCATACACAACTGGCACAGGTTCCCTTGACATGTTTAACCTTTGTTTAAGCTGCATGATTTTTACAAAAATCACATAGTTATTCAAACAGAAGTGCTCTCCACATTTTGGTTATAACCTCTTACTAAACCAAGTCAGAGAAGAACCTGAATTCTACTTGCTAAAAAAATACCAACAAAACAAACAGAAAAACCCAAAAACCGCCCCCCAAACAAAACCACCCCACCACCTATATTTCAGAAAGTTAAAAACATGTCAGCTGTCATGTACACTGAGTATCCTTGAACAATTATTGTATCTCAGATTCCACATACAGAAGAAACCTCATTTAATTTTAAAATTAAAGACTCCAGAAAACTCTACGGTCAAGCTCTTTGGAAATCTAATAGGAAACAGGTGTGCTGGTGTTCTACTCCCACACACCTGAATGCTGCAAGGAAACCCAAGATTATCACAGGAGCTATTTTGAACTTCAGAATTTCAGTGTGTTCTCAGATTTAGAAAGGCAATGACTTAGGTTAAAGCAGGCATGCAAAGGCGTAGAAATACCTATGCTCCATGTTGCTTTTAGTCATCAAGGCTAAATTTAAATTTTTAGATTCTGTATGTTTACCAAAGACCTAAAAACTATTGAAGTTCTGGCAAAAGTAGTTTTATAGAACTGAGGAGAACTGCGTTTAGATCTCCAGCAGAGTTGACTTCATCTCACTGGCATGTATTAATACATAACAAACAGCCTGTTCTATGTTTGAAATCAATAAGAACACAAAAGGCTGTGTTGTAACACTGTTGCTTACACAACTTTTTTTCCAGTTGAATAGTTGCATACTAGTATCATATTCATGACAGATAAACTGATTCTGAAGAAGGCCAACAGTAACTTGATGTATTCAATTACATACGCATGCATAGCAATCATGCTCTTTAATTATATTTTACCGAACTGGAGGAAATTTAAGAGCCTATGGATCATTACTCTGAAGCTGCTTAGTACCTCCTTAGCTTGAGATTTGTGAAAGCGACAGCTATTTCACACAGCCTGGCAGATACAAAGTTTTTGTTTTCTTTCTGCAGAATTCATTTCAAGGTTGCCTTTCCCCTATTTTCTCCCCCAGTTTACTAAAATCAATTTCTAAGCATCTTCCTGCAAGACTTAAAAAAGAACAATGTTAAGACACTTGCACTGCTAGTATCCTTTGCAAGATGTGCCTCACAGCATGTTCCTTACCTTAAACAGACAGCTCCATCTTATAGTAAAAGAGGATTTCTTCATAGGTTCAAACAAGTTTTGAGGCAAACTGTTCGTATCATTTTAGGGTTTAAGACTACACACACAGAACACTATTTCTTAAATCACTACTCACCTATTGGGATTGGAGGCTTGAAGCCCATTCTCATTTGTTACAATAACTTTGAAACAAGGTTCATTTCCAGGGTTTGGTTTCTTTTTTAATTGTTCTTCCATTTCTTCATCATCATCTTCCTCCTCATCCACCTCTTCTACTTGCATTATACCGAAGTAGTCACCAGCATCAAATACCTGAGATTGAAAGTGCACAAAACATCAAGCAGTTGGTTGAGGCAACTGACAAGCATAATGCAACACTGAAAGGAACTTGTAGAGAATTTTGGCCTGCAGTCTGATAAAACCTGGCATTTTTAACTGAACAGATAAATGAACAACACTATTTATTCTTTCACATTTTAACAGAACTGTTTGGGAAGTTTCTTTAGTTAATATTGGCAGGAAGCTTTGTTGGTTTCTTTGGTACCAATAGGTCTACTGATGGTCATCTATTAATTTAACTCCTCATAAAGAATTCTACAAGCTGAGAACAGAGTACCTTGGCTCACTATTTAAGATCTGTAAAACCAGGTATTACCCAGGCTCTGCAACCATACTAAAGTACATTAAGGCCCCTGAAGAAAAAGAGCTTTTACCACTCAGAATGTTTCGCCCCTGCCTACATAAGGAATTGCCCCTGCTCACCCACCTCTGGATGAGTTGGGAGATTCCTCATACTGCTGCAAGTTAAGTTCTATACACTTACTTCTGCTGAAGTGCTGAAAGGGATTTGTATGCATTCTTGCCTACTCCAGACATAATATCTTGATCTAGAACCTACATAAATTAAGCAGGTCACTACACAAGTTTCCCTTCTGCCACAGCCATGACAAATGGTGGGTTTGCCTGTGTTCTGAAGTACCACATCTCTGCTAACAACTTTCATGATTTCAAAGTGAATATGTGCTTTTAAAAAGAAAAAAATGGGTAAAGTCTCAGAAGACTTTTCAAATCCTTTCAGAGGGAGTTATTTTGTTAAGTCACTCACAATGAACTAGGCATGAGCAGACAAGTCATTTGCCTCAATCTAATGTCACTAGAAAGTAGTAGGGAGGGAGAAAAACCTAGAAATGTGACCTCTAGAGTTACTGGTTTAAGACGTCAAGCCCACATACACCTCTGACACCACATTATTCAAGTCATTACTTCCAGGCATTGACAACTTATTAGCAGTAAAATTCCAGAGGCAGTGATAAGCTTTTATTGTTCAAGTAAGCGTTCCTTCAGGAGAATTATTTCTGTTCAGCCCCAACAAGGAGGGGAAGAAATCAACCCCACACCTGTAAAGCAAGGCTACTTAGACAAAGCAGATAACTGCCCAAAGACAGCTAGCAAGGGAGGAAGGCAGTGGGGAAACTACCTACTTCAGATTTTAAGCCACAGCATGATATCATAGAACAGATTCAAGTGGATAAGTACCTCAAATTCCTTTCTGAGGATCAGGGGATGGCATTTTCCTTTGGGCTGGGGGGAAGAAAAAGAAAGTGCCAACAATGTGTTGGCTACCTCCTTGTATACGTTTTTCTCAAGATAAAGAAAATCACTTTGTCAACAACCTCACTGGAGATTAAAAATACACCTATTTTTTAAGAAATTAGAAACTGACTTAATATCTCCTGCTTCAGCAGGCATAAAAATAGCTAGCAATTCTAATTTATTCCTAGTTTTCCGGTTTTGCTAGAAGAGGACAACATTACCCAATCATGACCTCCTGCTGTTACAACAGTAGCCACCAACATTTCTTCAAGTGTCGATTGCCTGTACAATTTGCAGTCACTCTAAGCTGAGGTAACCACAAGCAGGTCCCAGCAAAAGGAAGAGTCCTTTCTTGTGCGGTCATCAACGGTGCTCACAATTTATTCTTGTCAGGTTAGCTCCCAACTGGATCATCAGCTCCCTGATCTGGCTCGCGGCACAAGTGATAATCCGGCTAACGACAACCAGCAAGAAAGTGCACCAGGGCACACACATTCCCCTCGAAGTGACACTTTGTTGCTCCTGCTGCTGGATCAAGAGCTGTCCTCATCAAGGTAATTATCTAGCAGAAGAAACACCAGCTAAGTGACTGGCAGTCATTAGAAAATTAAAACCTCAAGTGTGATTCTTTGGAGTCCACTTGACACCTGCTACCATATGGCACTTTGTATGTGTTCTGCACTTGACATTTTGTCTTGAGGAGTTTGTGAGAATGGAGATAGGAGGTTAGCCAGCTGCTGACTCCCAGATTAGCCTTCACCCCCACGGGCTCCACCCATTCACCAAACACCCATGATGAACGTTCATACCAAGGCCTTCACAACTAAGGGAAGCTGTTGGCTTTATAGTCCATTAAATATCAACTCAAGACTTAAAAATGAAGGGTCTCCAAATCCTCTAAGCCAAAGTTTTGACCTTTCCCTCCAACAGAGCATCAGTTTCATGAGACTGTAGCAGTTGCAGTTAGCAAAAACTCTCCACTTTTAATACCTTTTCAGCAGAAATATGCTAAAAAAGATTTCTCCTTGAGAAAGTGAATTAGGTGTATTCTTCAACCGAAGCAATTCACACTTCCTGGAGCAGCAGCTCAAGACCATCTTAATCAGTGGCTTTTTGTGAGGCTTTTGTTGCTGTGTTTTGTTGGGGGTTTTTTTGTTTGTTTGTTTTTAATTAATAATTGATAATTTGAACAGTTCAGAAGTGACTGGTTTGGCAGAACTGCCTGGTTGGCGAGGTGGACACACAGCCTGTAGAGTGAGTGGACAACACTGCTATCCTCTCTTCCTCCCTCCTTTTGAGCAAGTCTGTCACACTGTGAACCTACCAATGCAGCAGCTCCATTAAAGGAATCTTCAGTTATTTAAGCAAAAAACAGCTGGATAAAATCACACCACCAGTTTGAAAAGGACAACCTTTTGCTTGAAGCAGAATAGGGAGAACTTGCATTAAAGTACTCCAGCAAAGTAAGTAGTAATTTCTAGAAGACAGCAAAGGAGAAGCCACACATTTCGGTGGCATGACTATTTGCAAGTAAAACATGCTTGGGCAAAATCACTCCCTCTTCATATTCAGGTGCAGCTCCAACCTAAGAAACCTAATGAACCAGAGAATGTGATAACAAAGCAGGCACATGTCATGACAATTACCACACGTAGGTATCTTCAGCAAATTCCTTTTAGGTAAAATGCAGACTGCTTTAAAGGCCACAGGAAGCCTCTGAGCAACAGCCTGCCCCCTCCTGCTCTGGAAAATAAAGTCTAGTAGTATTGATCACGCTGCGTTCCTTTTAGAAACTAATTAAAAGCCTCTATTTCTAACCGTGATGAAACTCTTAAAACAATCCTTTGCCAGTGACATCTCAGGGCCACAAAAATCTTGCTGCAATACACAGAAGCCTGCCACATAACTTAGCACATGGCTGGAACAGGAAAAAAAAAAGACTATGAATAGAATTAGGTGCAGGCACTGTACTTCCCAGGCTTATAACCAGACTATATAGCATTTCTCCAGTAACATAAAAACCAACCATTATATTGGAAACAAAATTTTAGGGTTTATAGTATATTATTACACATGCATGTGTTTTGTTTTACAAGTTTCTGCCAGGAACACGGAAAATTTTGCCTCCCAGCAGACACTGAATGCTAAATGCAAAATAAATACAAGAAGGTTTCTTGATCTAGCAGATACACCATGTTTCGAATGAGCAATCCAATTCAATTCATGGTTACACAATGCTCTCAGAAGGAAACCTACTCCAGCAGATCTCAAAGTAAATAAATAAAAAAAAAAAATCAAACTCAAAACAACCCTCCGCTTCTCTCACAGGTTTTAACGTACACCTGGGAGGGAGGGTGCATTCACTCTGTATGTTGAAGTACATTTGTCTGTTGGAAAACAGCTGCCTAGGCTGGGTTCTAGAGGTACTGATGTAAGAGATTTTTATCTGTACCATGGATGTAAATTTTCCAAGTTCAATGCTAGAAAGTTTTAATCCTTGCAACAGGTTAGGACAAATTAAAAATTCCTCCCACCTTCATGAACATGCAACAAGGAAACTCATCCTATGCTCCATGTTGCACTGATTTCCCCCCCCAGGTATTCTTTATTACCTTGACTCCCAAAGTATTTTCACCCTTTCCCTTCACCTCCTTTGCTTTCTTTACTGTTGCTCCTCCAGCCACTCCACATGATCCAGTTCTAAGTAAGGTACTGTAGCACTGTCTCTACCTCCTCAAGAGCTCATCCCAGTCCACGGCACTCCTCACAGTAATTTTCCCTAGACATCCCAGTCTTCTCCACATCCTTTTGCCCTTCTTATGGATAAAACCCAGAAGCTGCAACATTAGAGACAAGCAGCACCAGCAACCTAATTTGTCTTCCTTAGCACATTGAAATAATTAAATCTCTCCCTCCACACGCACTGGAACACTTAGTACAAAAGAACACACTTAGCCATCACTGCAAGCAAAATGAAACAGAAGGAGCAGCCTGCCACCTTAGGGCATACGCTTTCTTCATCCTGCCTTTTGCCATCCTAGCCCCTCTAAAAGATAATCTGGACTGTGGGTCTCCTCTTACTCTATTGTCTTACTTTCCAAATTTCACACTCCCCCAACAAAGTTGGTAATGTGCAAGGATTTCAGCCCCAGGACACAAATCTTAACCCTGTGTTATATCACAGCACAACCCAACGTTTGCCAGCTACCTCCAGCTCCGTAACACTGGCATATGGCAATGCAGCAGCTTTCAACTTCAGGTTTCCTTACCAGCTTTATACTGCCTTCTGTTTCATCCTGTTCTAGTACATCCCTTCTCATACCTTCCTTTTTAAGCAGAGCAGTAGATATTCCCTGCTCCGAGTCACTTGCACGTATGCTTGTTGAGGGGCATAACACAACAGGAAGTTTGTGACTGGGCATATGCTTGAGTTAACGTAGATTTATTTTCCCTGTAATATACCCATATTCCTGTTATTAGCAGTACCAGTTAGAAAGCAGCAGGAACATACTCGGATCCTTCCTGACTGTACGTGCTATAAACACTCAGATTGCATCATGACTTGCTATGCTTCCCTCCTGTCCCAACTTTAAAGTTGGGATAAGGAAAAAGAAGCGTTCAAGTAATTAGAAATTAGTTTACCTGTACATGTGTGTTAAACTAAAGTCCCCTCACCTCACCTGCTGTCCTATACTGCCTGTTCAAACTTCTTATC